ACCATTGCAACATGACTGTTCCCTCAGTTGAAATACGATCCCTTTTGGGGAATGACCCAACGAGGGGTTATAGAGAGCAGTCATGTTGGAATAGTTAAGGAGCATTATTTTATTTTCAGCCTGTTCCAGGCACGCTATGTATGCCTTCAGCATCCCAATTACTATTGAATTCCTTGCAAAAAAGCAGAAAATATTTTTCAGGTCAAAAGACCTACCTCGACGTCTATATCCGGGGAGCCCGAATACGATCCCATGGTATGGGTTCCACAATGATGTGTCCCAACTGATAGGTTCGAAGGGATATCTGTCATTTCGTCCACGTCCTCGCTCTCTAGCGACGTCAACTTAGTGACAGTGCCATTGAGAATGCAACGCCATGGCATTTTGGGAGAGAGAGAGAGAGAAGGGAAAGCAGATCGTATTTTGGTAAATTATTCAGTCAAGCCATCGATGAACCAGGCCTTAATAAGCACCAAGGGTCTCTCTGTCCCTTCAAAGTCATGTTCAAAGTTTAGGTGTATGAATTGATCGGTTGCCTAATGACTGTGGCAGTACTGAAATCTCTTTTGGTCAGCGTGAATCGTTTTTGTGCGACTCCTATCAGGGAGGGGTGGGGGTCGTAACTGGTTCTGAAAGTAACCCAATTTCTCCAGGTTTATGCGAGCCACATAATCCTTCGAAGTCTATCATTTCTGGTAGTGAGGTGTCTATTCAGTGTCTAAGGAAATTGTGGGCGAATTCGGTAGGATGGTGCTGCGATTGTGAGAGAGGAGGACAGGAGGACGTATCGGAGGAGGAAAATTGGAAGAAGAGGGAGTCTTATGCTGCAAGTTTTGCGCATGGGTCCCCTGCGCTTCGAGATTAGTCTCACACCAGTACCCTGCTTCTAGTCCTCCCAGATGAGTCTGGCACCAATCATTCGACCCCGAGAAGATGAATGGCTCTTTTTGATCTGAAACGCGGAGCAGAAACATATGGAATTGGATCCATGAAGGACGGGTTGCGGGTTCACATTCTCCCGCTTGGAGATAAAATCTTCCTTCTTGATTACCAGCCGAGTATTTGTATTTTGTTCCCGCTAGGTTCTTGTTAATCATACGCTGGAAAGCGCCGCAACCCTGCGCGATAGCAGCGCCCGAAAATAGCTGAGAACCGTGGGAATGTGATCCACCAGACACTAATCTATGATGTTTCAGTGCGTCTTCGGAAGGAATCAATCGAAATGGAAAAGGGATCGTCGACCAGTGACTCTTCTCCTTGGGAAGAGAAGGCAAAACCGATCCCTGTCCCACGAAAGCTCACCGGGAATAATAATTTTGTAAGGCTATTTTGCCCACTTGACCATGCAAAGAACACAATGTCTGTGTTATTTCAGATGGAACGAGATAGCCTGAATTCTTATGCAGACGACTATGAGTTTGACGTCGATGATGAGATTTTTGACGAAATCGCCTCTCCTGCTGATAGGGACGGGTTCGTGACCTCTCCCTCCGGTGTTGCTCCTTCTTATATTACCCATTCACCTTCAGAAATGTCAAATACAATGGATATGTGAACCTTTCCGATTTCGTCGCCATTCGTGACGAGGGGAACTCATACACTGACATCGTGAAAACTCCAGCCGAACGTCCACCTCTGCCGGAACATAGGCCAAAGCCCTGGGTAAGTGGCTCGGCACCGAATAGCTTTGATGGCGGTCGAGAGTCGAGCCGGCAGCAATTCGTCTTTTTCAGGAGTCGAGACTGCTTCACTTGGCGTCCGAGTGCTTGTCAGTGAGTGATTGCGGTGACTGCGGCGACATCCCATGCACCAGCACCAATTCGCCCAATCACCGAAACTCCAACAACCCTACCGCGGTAAACTCTTTCAGATATATCGATTATATGTCTCCCTAAGGAATTACTCTGAGAGGAAAATGACAGCCGGACAGGAAATCCTTGACTGGCTGGTACATAGAAAAACGTTTGAAAAATGAGGCTTACCACTAGACGACTGCCATAGTGCTAGAGTGTTAAGTTGTAGCTTGTATATAAGGGAATGAACAAGCGCTGATTCGCGAAAAATGATTCCCCTCAGAAAGCTACTTCCCTCAATTTCCTTCGGAGATACGAGAAATTGGGCATCTGACACAACATCTGGAATAGCAACCTAGTGCTACAATCGGCAGATTTCTTTCTATCAACCCTAAGGCTT